ACTAAAATTTGTTCTCGTTCAAATCCATTATTTGATTCAAAATTAATTCGATTATAATCACTTGTGGTTGAGAGTGTGCAAGTATTAATTAACTTATCTAACTCACGTCATTAATCAACTCAGAATTTATTAAATAATCGACGTTTTGGCTTAGAATGACGCAAACAGACTTTGGATGAAATTTGCTCTATGAAGACAGATTAAATTGGTCTTCTCTTAAATTTCAACAAAATCAAAATGTCTATCATTGTCAAGTTGTTATTTAAATATTTACGCATCGAAATTCTAATAAATGCCTTTTTCCCTATATATGTGATATAAACAATTGAGAAGTGGAAACTGATTACATCATAGACTATGCAGAAAACATGTTTGAGCTAGGCAAGGTCCGCATGGGTGCTTACTCAATTGTGGTATGCTTATGGTTTCCGTAGTGGGGTGTGCGACAGACTTACCTCCACTTGGTGCGCCCTGGGCAACTTATACTCATACGGCAAAAAATGTCCATTAGCCGACAGTTGACTTCTGACTTCAAACTACCATCACCCCACTGTGGCAGTTGACTTCTCACTTCAAACTACCATCACCCCATTGACGGGCAACGTATACTCATACGGCAAACAAGTCTATAAACCAATGGGCAACGTATACTCAAACGGCATACCTCCACGTGGTGCACCCTGGGCAACGTGTACTTACAACCTCCATGTGGTGCACCCTGGGCAACGTATACTTATGCGGAAAAAAGTCTATTGACTGGTAGTTGACTTCTCACTTCAAACTACCATCACCCCACTGTATAGTTGACCACTGACTTCAAACTACCATGACCCCACTGTATGCCTTGACTTCTGACTTCAAACTACCATGACCCCACTGTATGTTACAAAGTATACTCATACGGCAAAAAGTCTATAAACCGGCAGTGGACTTCTGACTTCAAACTACCCTCACCCCACTATATGTCACATTCTGACTTCAAACTACCATCACCCCACTGTATGTCATTTCCGACTACTTTCACAGTACTTATCTTGTATTTTCTCTGCTTTTGGGTCTGTTTGTCACTTACATCTGTGAATCACTCTTCTGCTCCCCACTTCTCCAATTTCTGTTACTTTGATGTTCCGTCCCCTCTGTGAAGCCTGAAGTCAACTAAAGGGCTAATGATAACTATCAAAAACGCCTGCCATTTGATAAAAAAATGTTTGCCGTAGTTTGCATTGATAGGCAATGCGGCAAAAATATAGGGGTATCTCTGTCCAGGGATATCACTGTCAGAATTCAAAACTGTTTCCAATATCTCTGGACAATGCAATGATGGTATTTTATCTAACAAATGTGTGGGTGGTCAAGAGAAAGTGAGTGGGAGTAGTGACTAAGTATTTGTCGAAATTATGTTAACCTAACTTAGAGGCTTAACATTTATTTATATCAAATGGCAGGCGTTTTGATAGTTATCATTAGCCCTGGAGCTGACTTCGGTGCTTCACAGAGAGGAGAAGGGACATCAAAGTGACAAAAAGTCGAGATGGGAGACAGAATAATGATTCACAGAGGTAAAAGAGACACACAGACATAAAGGCATAAAACAGGTAAGATGAGTACTGTGGAAGGGGTCGAATATGACAAATAGTCTGGCCATAGCAGTTTGGAGTCAGAAGTCGATCAATAGATTTTTTGCCGTATAAGTTTACGTTCCCCAGGGTGCACCACGTGGAGGTAAGTCTATTGCGCACCCCTAGAGGCTTAACATACTTCATTGTAATGTTGGGCCTTATCTGGGCATAAGGGCATAGGGGTTTCCATGTCAAGATGGCTTTGGTGAAAACTCAAGTATTTCTAGTTAATGTCAATTTGCGCAGAAGAAGTTGAAGTGTGCTTTAACGAAATGAAATTGTGTTTGTCACAAAAAGTGTTTGCGTAATGCAAGTTTCATCGATCTTCTTATCAAGGCTGAGTATAGTAGTGTGGGTACGTGTGTGCGTGCGTGTGCTTGCGAGAGTGTCTACCTACACTATGTCACCTTGAGGAACACATTCATACCCGATATTCTTATTGAAACGAGTTTAGTGCTGAGGGTTCTGTTTCTTTATGATTTATTTTGCTGCGTTCTGTCAATGTGAAACAAAACCTTTCCTTATCGAAGCATTGCATTTTAAGCAAAATTGTTTTTGTGCTCAGCTACCTCCAAAATTAGTTATTATTCTTTCCTGCATAAGTGGTTATACAGCAGCTACCATGGGGCTCAAATTTGTCTTGTTATTAGAGCCGAGAGTACTCGTTGCCATTTGAGAAACTTTATCTTTTACATCTGGTAAACAGCTGATCATGGGGTGGTGTTGATGCCAGATAAGCACCGAAGGAGGCACGAGGCAACAAATTTGGGTTGCACACTGTGTGACAGGTTATCGCTTTGTGCGTGATAGCATGTCTGCTCTCCAGGATTGGGAGGTGTGGCCATACAACTCTGTGTGTAGCGACCGTACAAACAGTGACCAATCACTAGAACCTCTGTGTGTAGCGACCGTACAAACAGTGACCAATCATCAACTTCTGTTTAACCTAATCCCCCATCCTGATCATGAGTGGCTCTCTGCGTGTACACTTTATCTGCAATATCCGTACTGAATAAAAGTTCTCCGTGCTACACGTCTGTTGCCTTTATAGCTGGGCTATGGCTTAACTAGTTCCGAGAGTTTAGCAGATGTAGGAGAATCTGCCACAGAGATTTCTGAGTCAGTTAGGCTTTACTAGGGTAGCAATCCACCACAACAATATGTACAAAATGATATTAAACGCTGAAAAATTAATTTTTTTTAATTTGTACCTGATTTTCGTCAATTGGTTTTCGAATATGTTTGTTCCTCACAGGCTGGTTTGCAATTACGTTCGTCAATCACCATTGTTATTTTCATAGTATTTTTGAATTAACAGATAAATTTTCAACCGTGGTTACAAATGTGTCTTCCTTATTGAATCTTTTCCACTAATTCCAAGTCATCGATTTCATTATTTAACTACATGTGACTTAATTTATTTTTTTTAAACTAGAGTTTTTTATGCACTGTGTTTGAATCTTCCCAAGATTGAATATGAAAACAATGTTTTTGAAAGTTTGCTTTAGAACACCAGATTGAGAGAATTTTACATTGTCAATCAACTTCGAGGGCTAACTGTATGACTCTATTTGATGCTTCAAAAAATAAACTCGCATTGTTGCAAAAGAAGTACGAATTCATTGGTCATTGTTTTTAAGAGATCTAGATCCAAGCAACTAGCCAATCACCATTATTAAGACCAAATCGGGTTTACACATCTGAACAATGAACATCTTTGTCATAGTTTGTTTCATTGCGTGGCTTCATTGTCCAATGCATGAAAGTAGGAGTATACCGGAATGGGAAATCTGGCATTCCCCAATAGAAGTATCAAGTCATTCTATCCTTCTCAATCTGGAAGACATTGAGCAGATTTTTAAGTCAACAAATGTTCAAAATCGTAACGATTCATTTAATTAACACCACAATGGGTCCCATTATTCATAAGTTGAAATAAGTGAGCGGTTCGATTTTGCCTCATAAATTCGAATTGGACATCTTGTAGCCGAATGATGGGAGGTTTTAAAATTACTGACATGTTAGTATTTTGTCAATTATAAGAATGGGTAGTGGGAGGGATGTACCTTAAATTGATTTTCCCACTGCCATTGAGCAACTTCATATGCGTCATAAATGTGGGGACATACTTAATTTTAAGAAATATGATTTGCTCCCCAAAAGCCCTTTATTATTCATGATTGGTGAGACTGCATTTCAGAAGTGGACTTTGAGAAGTTCTCGAAATCTTGCTCCGATGTAATAATTTCATAAAATTTTTAATTCAGTGCTCCTACAAAATTCAAAATGATTAAGTGAATTGCGATGATCGATTAAAAAATATATTTATAGGTTTTAATTTTCTAAAAGAGGGTAGGGCGATAGACTTACCTCCATGTGATCCACGCTGAACAATGTATACTCATACGGCAAAAAAGTCTATTTACTGGCAATTGACTTCTCATTTCAAACTACAATGACATATTAACTGGCAGTTAACTTCTCACTTCAAACTACCATCACCCTAAGCGGCAGTTGACTTCTCACTTCAAACTACCATCACCCGCACTGGCAGTTGACTTCTCACTTCAAACTACCATCACCCCTCACTGGCAGTTGCTTTCTGACTTCAAACTACCATCACCCCACCGTAAACCGGCAGTTGACTTCTGACTTCAAACTACTATGGTCCGACTATAGTTGACTTCTGACTTCAAACTATCATCACCCCACTGCACTGGTCCATATTCGACTACTTCCACAGTACTCACCTCATCTTTTTCACTCTACCTTTGTGTCTCCATATTCGACTACTTCCACAGTACTCACCTCACCTTTTTTATTCGACTACTTCCACAGTACTCACCTCACCTTTTCCACCTTTTGTCTGTCTCTCTACCTTTGTGTCTGTTTGTCTGCTTTACATCTGTGACTCATTATTCTAAGTGGTTAATGATAACTATCAAAACGCCTTCCGTTTGAAATAAATAAATTTTCGAAAAGATGGCATTATTGAAGGTAATCATACGTCAATTTTCATTGGAAATATCTCCAGAACTAAACAAACTTCCTTTTTCACTTGTGAAAATGAAATACAATTTCTAATTTCATTGTCAATGGCTTAGTAAAGCTTTAATAATAATCCAATCTTTTCACCAATCTAAGTTAGCATTAATCTATTTAAGTAGATTTGTCATTTAAATGACGACATTTAAAAGGGTGTGTGCGCTGTTTTCCATGGCAAGATAACCATTCAAAATAATAAATTTCATCAAAAATATTATTTTATGTAATACCCTTTTGAACAATCTGATTGGCTCGTTCTTAAATACTCTACCAGATTCCACTCTCACATAAATATTGTGCTATTTGAGTTAAAGCACGTTAATTTGAGATTAGAAAATGGCTCCATATTACGGAGAAGCTCAGGTCCTCTTCCTCGTCTTTGGTCTCAATTTGCTCTCCATCTTTTTTAATGGGTGGATTTGTGGAAAGATTTTCTCTTATTTATGCATTAGAGGATTCTATCCCCATATGACCATTACTTTGACACTTCTAGTTATAGCTACGGTTTTTACTCTAATAGCTGGAATACTACAAATCCTCTGCATGGTGAAACGAACCGAACGATATCTCCTGATTTCAAGAATTCTAACCATTTGTGCTGCTATATTTGCCATAGCTAGCATATTCTACCTCTATGATAATGTTTTAAATGGAATTTGGAGTCAGCGTATTTCCCTACTCATAGCCGGTATGGTACTCGGAATATCCATATACCAACTGTCTAATATTTTCTATGTAAGACTCGAAAATCGCAAAACTGCCTAACGAGTAACTTCCACACTGTTCCCTAAATATTGAATCGATCAATTTATTAACATAGTGATTTTGTAACGAATTTTATTTAATAAATATAAACAGAGTCCTTCTTTACCTGTTATGTCTTCTAATGCCTCAGTCGCTTAAAGAGCGTCTCTTGACTTTATTTGATTTGATTTTAATGACCGCACGATTAGAGATTGTAAGGTTGTTGAACGAAGCACCCTATGTTAACTGTTACGTGAGTGCACCCTGGGCAACGTATACTCATACGGCAAAAAGTCTTTTAACTGCACCCTGGGGAACGTATACTCATACGGCAAAAAAGTCTAACACCCTGGGCAACGTATACTCATGCGACAAAAAAGTCTAAACTGGTGCACCCTGGGCAACGTATACACGGCAAAAGAGTCCGTGGTGCACCCTGGGCAACGTACACTCACACCTTACCTCCACGTGGTGCACCCTGGGCAACGTATTCTCATTCGGCTACCTCCACGTGGTGCACCCTGGGCAATGTATACTCATACACCTCCACGTGGTGCACCCTGGGCAACGTATACTCACGATAGACTTACCTCCAGGTGGTGCACCCTGGACAACGTATACTCAAACGGCACGTGGTGCACCCTGGGCAACGTATACTCATACGGCTCCACGTGGTGCACCCTGGGCAACGTTTACTCATACGGCTCCACGTGGTGCACCCTGGGCAACGTATACTCATAAGGCACCACGTGGTGCACCCTGGGCAACGTGTACTCATACGGCAAGTAAGTCTATCACGTGGTGCACCCTGGGCAACGTATACTCATACGGCAAACAAACTGGTGCACCCTGGGCAACGTATACACGGCAAAAGAGTCCGTGGTGCACCCTGGGCAACGTACACTCACACCTTACCTCCACGTGGTGCACCCTGGGCAACGTATTCTCATTCGGCTACCTCCACGTGGTGCACCCTGGGCAATGTATACTCATACACCTCCACGTGGTGCACCCTGGGCAACGTATACTCACGATAGACTTACCTCCAGGTGGTGCACCCTGGACAACGTATACTCAAACGGCACGTGGTGCACCCTGGGCAACGTATACTCATACGGCTCCACGTGGTGCACCCTGGGCAACGTTTACTCATACGGCTCCACGTGGTGCACCCTGGGCAACGTATACTCATAAGGCACCACGTGGTGCACCCTGGGCAACGTGTACTCATACGGCAAGTAAGTCTATCACGTGATGCACCCTGGGCAACGTATACTCATACGGCAAAAAAGTCTATTAACCGGCAGTCGACTTCTGACTTCAAACTACAATGAACCCATTGTATGTCA